CCTCTGCTATCAACTTTGTTAAAGGCCATGTCAGCTGCCATTTCAGGATAACAGGATGGCAGTGAGTGAAATAAAAGTATCACTTTGTCAGCCTCAGCTGCTTCCCTGAAATGTGTTCCACAAACAGTAAGAGCTTTTCATGTATATCTCCTGCAAGAAACAAGATAGCTTCACTATCTCCCATTGATCTGTTCAATCCACAATGTAGTCAAACCTGCTTTTTTTAAAAAGAAAAAAAGTGTTGGTGAATAGGGAGATGGTATGAGGAAGTCCAAAGGGGAAATTCTTTAAGCAACTATGTTTAATAACAAAGAATTACATGATTTTTATATAACTCAAGAACTATGTTTTGTATAATCAGATTTATATGCATGAATTAGAATCCTATATTCTGAAATAAAGATGCAACTCAGCTCCCAGTAAATTAAGAATGCAAATTCTTCATAATTTTTGAAGTATTTTTTTAATGGAAAGAAAATATAGGTTGTTTGCTCTGTGGACATTGTGCATGGAAAAAGTCATTCCTATATATTCTTTATGAATGTTCAGGAAAAAAAATGCACAGTATTTTATTCTCCAAGGACTTCTCAAATTTTCATCAGATACTTTATACTGGCTTAACATCCAATGTTGTTTGGTGTCTGAAACAAATTTTGCAGTATTTGCCATGTGATGTTTTAGTAGTGCATTACAAAGAGGCTTATGGTTTTAAACTTCCAGGGGAAAAGTTCAAGTCAGTAGTTGTGCGTTGCAAAATAATTTTGGCAAGTTCTATGATCATACTTTTAATTGATATGAGTTAGTGTTGGTCAATATAACTGACAATGTATTTACTAAGTATACTATACACTCAATATTATAGAACAAGTATACATAGCAATATCATTAGTAGCAATAGCAAAGCTACCTATAAAATCCAGATCAATGTTTCAAAGAAGCCATAGCTTTTCAGCTTTGGAAGCTATGGATAAGCCATACTGTTCATTTTATTAATGACTTTGAGTCAGTGTTGAATCTTGACAACCGCCTGGACTAGTCCCGGCAGTTTTCTTGGCAAGAGTTTGGAAATGGTTTGCCCTTGCTTATTTCTTAGGGCTGAGGGACTGACTGGCTCAAAATCTCCAAGTTGGCTATGTACCTAAGGCAGGACTGGAACTCATAATCTCCCAATTTGTAGCGTAGTGCCTTAACCACTACACCAAACTGGCTCTCTATATTGTTTATTACAGAGATATATTTTACAGCAAATTGCTTAGACAGCACATTCTTTTAAAAAACAGCACTTAATACATAAAATGTTCAATAATTAGGATAAATCCGATGTTATTTGAAGCTGTAAAATAAAGAAATGGCAAAGTCTTTAAAAAAATTAAATTTAATCAAATTCTCATAAATAGTGGATTTGGAAAACTCACTGACATGTTGTGTTTTGTTCACCTACACTTTTTTTTATGGTCATTTTTTAAAAAAAATTAGATCTACAGTTCAGAAACAAATGCACCTCAGCCAATAAAAATCACATAACCTCCAAACATTGTAGAAATTATGGTGCTGGTGTTTCTAAATTGTGTTGGATTATAATAGACTAGACATATTTCAAAAAGCTACATTTTTCCCTTGATCATTTACATCCAGATCTCATTTACTCCCAAAATTTTCAAGTACAGCCAGCTATTAAATGGAAAAAATGGAAAAAAAAACAACCAAAAGAATGCTTCCCCAGAAATGAAGGAAGGTCCAGATAGTTTAAAAGAGGTGATTTCATTCCAACAGTAAGATTGCAAGATGTAACCAGTCCACCTGAAGGGGTATAGCAAAACATCTTCCAGGGGCCTGCTATGACATTTCCACAAAAGCCAAGGGCTGTTTCATTTCACAGCAGCAATCTGGCCTTTCACTGCCAGCCCAGTGGTGCCTCAAGAGGAGGTTCCTTAGCAACTGCAATGTGATGCCCCAGCAACAATATTGCAGAGTCCATCCCTGGGGAAACTGGCAAGTCACTATCTAGTGACTTGCCAACAAAGCTTTAAGCCCTGAGGGGAAATGGACAGCCTAAACCAGGATTGGGAAGGGACAAAATAAGATTCAGAAAAACAATATCCTTCTGTTAAAAGGGCGATCTCTCTCAGAAAAAACAAACAAACAAACATGGGGACACAGCTAATTTGGATCTAGCCAAGAGCGACAGGAGTTGTTGCAAACAAGGGCAGGAAAGTTCTGATCCTTTTCAGAAGGCTTCAGAAGTTCAGACTTGACGCTGTATTGCTGATCTTAGGAAAATTCCTTTTTTAAGTAGTTTAGGCACTTAAAAATGCTAACCAGACTTTCCAGCTCAAGGCAATTCGATTTTCTTTGTTCAAACAGTTTTGAGTCACCATTTATGCCATTTATTATGCCTTTTCTCAGGCTGAATCCACAAATCACCCTGCTTCTTTATTTTACAGGTCATCCACTTTAAATTCAAGAGAATTTCATTATCATTACCCCAATGATAATTTGGGGCTTCCTGCCCTAAATCAGCTTTCCCCAATTTGGAATGCTGTGGTTATGTAGTTAGCTACGCAACTCCCAAATTATCAGCATCAAACCTATCAACAAAACACCAAACAGGGCAAGGGATCCTACAAGTAACTAATGATATTAGTGCAAGATGACACATGCCACTAAGCACCTCACTCTCAGTAGGGAAAGCTTTTTAAATTAATAATGCAGCATCAGGGAATCTTAATGTGATTGTGTCTCAGGTCATTTCTTTAAATTATAGCTATGCTAATTTCACATGGAAAGGAAAAGGAATATTTGCTGATTTCACCATGCCCATCAACTTTGCCTGTGAGGTGTTTTTTTTTTAATATTCTAGATCAAACAGCTTGCCATCAGCAAGTATGTTCTTAAATAGAACAGATATCAACATGGCATACTCAGTGCTTATATTCTTTATCTATGCCCCACTACAATGATTTAAAAATATGAGGTTCTAATCTTATGACTTGAATAACGGATTAAATCTAAACCTTGTATATTGTTCATCTTCCAACAAGTTATACCTGAAAAGTCACAAAGTAACTATTTTTCAAAAGCATTTCGTATGAATGTGCTCAACTTTCATGTTTGGATCATTCCTACATAGAATTTATTGGGGGGAAATCCTCTCCATAATTGGCAAAGCAGTAAGAAGAAAACAGATAATAGAAGTATGTTGGAGACAAAAATAGACAAAAATAGTATTATAAGAGCTTCATTGTTTAAGTGCTATAGCCTTTTGCAGGTTTGCAACTTTGAAAACCAACAGCACTTAAAAAAAAACATATTATATCCTTTCCCATAAACAGTTCCTTCCATTTGAACCTTCTTTCAGTAAAGTTCCACGCCTTTGTCTCTCTGTGGAGATGGTACTTATTCCTATACCTTAAGCTATAGCCAGGGTCAAATTAAACCGAATCCAGACATCAGCAAATAATAACAGGCCTCATACAGGCGAGCAGATGGTGCTAGAAGAGATGGAACTGCTGCTTCTAAGCGTTAATCTCATGTAATTAGCCAATTTGGGAAGAGGCAGCCAAAAGACAGCTGATAAATTTGTGTTTGCCCATACAAATGCAAACATGCTACAGTCAGCAGGCACTGAGCAAAAATGAGCAAGTCAGATTTGAATTATTCAGGGGACACCTGCCATTAATCATAATCTTGCTTGGACAGGTCACCCAATTTGAGACTACAGCTCCCAGCCAAAATTATCTGGGCACTGATAGTACCATTTTACTGAGCCAGTTCCACATGAGATGCTCAGGACATCAAAAGCCTGTAAGAGAGAGGCATCCAGCCTGACAAGAGCAATCTTTGTATGGTTGAGCAAAGACCCCAGGTGGTACTGACCAAGAGGCCATGAGGCAGCAAATAACCACCAATGTGATTGAAAATTGCCTCCAAGCAGGGAACATTATATCAGATGAGCCAGGCTTTCTTCCTGTCTGTAGAGAATTAGAGATTAGTACCTTATAGTTCTGAATAGGCAAAATTGCCAGCTAAAATTGGACACAAACTGAATCTTTAATTTTACTATACAGGTAGTCCTCAACTTACAACCATTTGAAGTGACAACACTGAAAATTGACTTATAACTGGTCCTCACACATGTAGCCATCGAAACATCCCTTCAGTCACCTGATCAAAATTCAGCAACTGGCATGTATTTACAATGATTGCAATCACCATTTGATTACCATTTGGAACCTTGGGGAAAAAGGGGGGCGGTGTGTTATTGACAAGCCAAGTCAATGGGGGAAGTTGGATTTACTTAATGTGACTCAATGACAGCAGAAAAAGTCGGGTAATTGAGCATAACTCAATGACATCACTTATTGACAGGAATTCTCATCCCAGTTCTGCTTGAAAGAACTACCTGTATGACTCAATGCAATAAATGTAGCTGGGATCACACATCACATTAAGCCACCATTAAGTTGGCTATCTTTTGATTAAGATATTAAGTGAATCCATCTATTGTGTGTGTAAACTGTGGCTCATGGTTTACTTTAGGGTGTTGTGTGAAGACAGTTACTTTTAAAAAACCAAGTAAACCATATGATAGTGACACTACTATTCTTCATTCTTGTTTCCCTTGCACAAAGCTTTGCAAATTCCTTTTCTAAGGCAGCAATCCAAGGTTTAGCAAGTTAGCAGCCAAAATCCAGAGTGAAAAATCCACTAATTTCCATCCTATATCTTTCTAACATGGCAATGCAATGCTTTGTAATGTTTCAAACAAATGCTTCAGAGGAAACAGATCATGAAAGTTACACCTGTTTTCAATTCTTTAAACCAGTTATGCAATCCAGGGAAAGACACAACTGCTAAAATGTTGTAGAGAAGTGCAAATTTTACACTACCGTACTTTTAATAACTTGAGAAATCCATTGTTTCTTCCAAATCATAATTGTTTTGCTGAGAATTCTTCCCATCCAAACAATTCCCTTGAGAAATAAAGAACGAGACACATTTACTGAAGGAGCATCATACTCCTGCCACTGAGCGGCCTCAACAACTTGTTTATTTCACACTCCATTCACAGTGCCTAGAACATTTCAACCCAAGACAGAAAGGAGGCATGGACAGAGCTCTCCAAACCAATTTAGACCAAAATTAAAGTTGAAGGACATAACAACAGGACTTTCACTCAAGTAGAACCTGAAAACTGAAGTTGCAACATTCTATTGTCCCACTTTATGAAGAAGAACCTTGGTAGAAAACTCTTCCATGATGTTTATCAGATGAACTCTTCAAAAACATTTTTATTTCATTGTTTTTCAAATTCTTCCACTTCCAGTTCTTTCTAACTTGAGCAAAACAGGCAGCAGTAATTTTTTCTTTCTCATCAAGGCCTCAGTATCAACACTTCATGCTGGTATGCACATGTGCTTTTAAATCAAAATTTGAGCTTAGTAACTGAATTTTTGTTACAAGTACATCAGCCATCCCCAACCTGGTACACACAAGATATATTAAATATGTAACTTCCATTCACTATGCTCACTCTGGTTGGGTGATTAGAGAGTTATAGCCCAACGTTTCTGGAGTACCAGATTGGATAAGGTCAATCTACGGTATATATTTTGCGAGTTGTGTGTTTCAGTTTGTTGATTTTACATATTTTATCCTGGGGTTTGGGTTTTTTGGGTGGTGGTGGTTTTTGTTTTTGTTCATCATGAAAAGGGACAAAAGGAGCAATGAGGACTACTGAAAGCTCTCCCTTAAATCCCAGGCTCTCAGGCACAAATAAAGCATTCAAATCCACTTTGGGGCAACACTCATCAACTCATTCCAATATTCAGCCATCTACTTTGAAGAAAGCTGTAATTCAGCACTAATGTTCTTGCTTGCTGATAAGGAAATTGGAAATTAAGAGTCTGAAGCAAGCAGTTCAGGTTGAGCATGCATGCAGACACCTTTCACTGCCAAATAGCAAGTCAGAAGCAGCTTTTCAAATTTCTTTAGTACCCAAAGATACCATGATGCTATCTAAAATTTTGATCAAGTAAAATTTCCACCTCAAAAAGCACTCATATGGCAATCGTAAGTTATAGCCTAATTCGTTGGATGCTATTTAAAAACAATTCTTCAGCGAACAACATAGCAGAACTGGCCTAATTCCAGCACAGTCAAGATAACTTCCTTTCCACGCAGTATAGACCAGGGGTGTCAAACTCACAGCCTGTGGCCCAGATGCGTCACACGCTGGCCATGCCCACCCCCGGTTTAGTGAAGGGGGAAAAAGTTGCGATGTGTCACATGGCAACAATGGGTTGTCACGAATTTGACACCCCCGATATAGACTATATCCTTTTAGGCCTTAAGTAGAATCATTTCAGTGCCTTCTGGATGTGATGAACTTCAACTTCTAGAATCCATAGCTAAAATAAGTGAAGTCCAAGACATATGGAGGGCATCTGGTTGGGGAAAAGTACTCTGAACACTGGACACTTTTTCAAACTTAAGAATTAAATTGCTTCTTTCCTCCATGCCTGCCCACCAGCCCTGAAATCAAATTAAACTTATAAACAATATATTACACACTGTCATCATAGCCACACAACCATGTCACACAAATTAGCAGAAACATATGGCTTCAGAATTTATTATTGGAGGCATAGAGGCTATAATACTTTGCTCCTCTTTGCAGTGGGCACCTGCAGCGGAAAGAATGGGATTCCCAGGCTTCTTACGGGGATAGTGAGGAAAGGCAGTTTAGTTTATCAAAGGAAGCTGGGAATTTAACATGTGATAACTGACAGGTTTATTGATGTTCAAACCAGAAACAGCTTTGACCAACATTCCCACAGAAAAGTGAAAGATGATCTAAAGTTTCTATAGTTTTTTATCTATAATCTATGTATTAAAGCCAATTTCCCTAGCTACCAAGAATTTTTTTTAATCAGAAGTCAATTTAGTTCCAGTTTCAAAGGTATAAATAAAACAAGCTCTTTCTTTACATATTTTTCTATTAAAATATTCAGGAAAATGTCAATTTGATCATTTTTCAAAACTAAAAAAGAGAAACATATCTAATATCTAAAACACAACTATTTTGTAGTAGTTTTGTATCCCCAACTATTAAGGGATTCTCTTTTGGGGAATCTTTAGATTAAAAGTATTTTGAACAAGTAAAATCTGAATACTAGGGGGAAAAACTTCTTTAAAATTCCCACAACACAGAAAATAGAGAAACAAACATGTGTTTCAAGCTATCTCAAGATACTCAGTTATTACAGGGATTTGTAAAATCCCTTTTTTTTTTTTGCTACTATATTAACGTTTGTGGCTCCGAATTCCTAATGTTAAAATGATGGATAATAAAAGTATACATGGATGTTACACAGGCAATTCCCAGGAGCTAGACTTCAAAGCTAGGTGTCTGCAGAACAGGCCAAAACCATGAGATGCCGTTAAAAAGAGAAAGAACAAACAAGTTTTTTAAAACCTAGTGTTTGAAGTTGGATGAGTGTTGGGAAACTGTACCCTTGATATTCTTTGGGAATGATTTTAAGAGCAGTGTCAGAAAACCATAGATAAAGATGGGTAGTTGCCTTATTGGATGATGGCAAAAAAAATACAGGATAGGAAAAAAAACATGGGATCTTTGTGCACAGAATTACAAGCTATTCCGTAACTCTGGCACAGCCTCTCCAGTAGAGGAACAAATATCAAACAGATCATCAGAAGGCATATTACTCACCTAACACAAGCCACCCTTTTGAATAGGGATGGACAACTAAACTGATTTCAAAACAACATTGAAGGAAAGAGAAGGGGAAGAGTACCAGCAACAGAATTAATTGATGGGCACAAAGTTCAGCATTGTAGCAATGTGCACTGGCATGAAGAGGAGAGATTTGCAAACAAAAGAGCAATTTGTTTGCACACATGCAATCTTGTGAAATGGGAGAAGGTCCAGCAGCACCCACCTGCTATGTCAACCTTTCCCTAAACACCTTGCCTGACAGTCTAAGGATTGTTATTAAGATGCAGTTGGGCTCAAATGCCACCCTTGTTTTTGAGAAGAGAACAGAAGGTCCATTTGTTCTGCTCCCCACCCCGCACCCCAACTGCCCCATTCCCAAGGTATTTTCCTCTAGCCAGCAATTCATTGGAGACATTCTCAAATCACACCATCACCACCCAACCCCAGTAGTTCCCCTTTAAATAAATGAATATTTATATAGAGAATTTTATATAAAACTCTGTTTCTTTATCACTCGTCATCAAAGTTCTGACTCAGCAGGAAGTTGGCTGCCAGATTTTCATTCTTCTCACAAGCAAAATATGCCTGGATCACCAGACTCTCAGGAAAGCCCAGGGCCTTTAACTGAGAGGAGAGAAGAGGGAGAGGGGGAAAGGGAAGTACAAAAAGAAAGAAAGAATGAATGTTAAATGTTACTTATGGCAATAATCTAGTTTTTCAGCAAGGAACCAATTGTCAGCAATTTTGTCATAGCATATTGAAATAAAAAAAATTGACATAATTGCCTTTTGAAATTCTACATAGATACCGTAAATTTGTGGCTGCCTGCTTTCTTGTAACTCTGCTCTAGGAAGGGGAAAAGAGCATTCCATAATATTTCTCTTTTAAAAGACACAATGGAAGAATGTAAATTATCATTTATAGGCTTAATATAATCTCAGGGTCTCATGCTTTTTATACACATCACATATTTTTCTTTTGTTTTAAATTAAGAGTTTTCTTTAAAATGTGGAAGGTTTAACTGAGCTGATTTTTCATCTCTTGCAATGCTAGCTTAGCCCCATTTCTCCAATTCTCCTCACGCCAGTAGGTATAGCTTCTTTCCAAAAAATCCCTCCAAATCCAAGAAGAATCTAATAATGGTTTCAGAACAAAACATAAATATTTGCAATTAATCATATTTATGCAAAACAACATTAATTTTAATAATGCACTTTAAGTATAAACATTTTTTCTTGATGTTGCAAAATGATCAGTATTCTGACGTGTAGCGTTCTTCATTCAACTGAATTACAACAGATCAGAATCTCCACTAGAAGAAAAAAGCAGCGTCAAAACCCCTATTTCAAATGTTTTTTGTCTTAGAGAAATATAATAAAAAACAACAGGATTGCAATTTCAGAGCTCACATTCCAATCAGCATATTCCACACAATTGATTCTCATAGTCATTATCATCAGAATCTAGTCCATACTCCAGAATGACAGAAGGTGATTAGACTTTAATGCTGAGCAAAATCCATAAGTAATATTGCAAGCTCAATCCCTTCTGTACTGGTTGGACTAACTGTTGCTCTAAAGAACAAAAAGAATGATCCCTATTTTAGCTGCTATGTCAGAAGTGCATGCCTTGAGGCTAGGAATGATTCATAAAGGTCCCTAAAAATTGAAACCGAGCTATAATTTTAATGTGACTGAAGAATAAAATTATTAAATACATGATGGAAGAATAGTATCAGCTACATTTAATTTTAATTGTGTTTTTTTTTTGTTTAACTCACTATTTTTTGAGTGCAATCCTAGCATGCCACGGAAAGGTTCAAGTATACCTTCAACCCCAAATTAGCTATGCATGCCTTCACTAAACTGTTCTATATGACAAGAAGGAACTTCTTAGAAGCCAACCCCCTACTGAAAAAGTCAAGCCAAGAAAGACCAAGTATACCCAGAGGTCCTTCTTTCCTTGCCACTGCCCCTTCCTTCCTCGTTCAACATATTTACCCTTTCTATGGCTTCTTTTTCCTGAGGCGTAACTTGGATGTAGTTCATCTGGGGAGCTTCTTCCCCAATAGCACCCATCTCTCCCTCAATGTCTGCGATGTCAGCCATTTCACCCAGAGGTTCATTGAGCATCTGAATGAACTGCTCCTGATGCTGACTAATTTGCTGCGAAGGAAGAATGCTCACCGTTACCAAACACTCTCTGTATCTGCATCTGTGCAACTGGCACAACATGTAGTACACGTTGATGTAACACCCCCAAATCATTGTCTCCAATGCTGGGACTTTGATAGAACAGCTGAAGGGGCCACACAGGAATACATGCACGGCTGATCTGTTTTCCTTCATCTGCTTTTCCCATCCTTAGCTCTCTTTTTTCTCAAGTATCATGAACTTGCGTCTGCTTTTCAAGCTACCCATGTATCATTAAAAGCCATATTAAACTGCTGATTCATCAGTGACCAGCAAGACAGCCCTTGCTTAATTGCCTTGTTTAGCAACTGTTCAAATTTACAGTAGCACTGGAAAAGTATGTTTATGACAGATGCTCGTACTTGTGACCTTAGCATAAATTTGTGATTGCCATTTGCACACCCCACAAGCCAGCTTCAACAATCAGAGCCAATGGAGAAGCTAGCAAGTTAGTCACGTGATGTCTCACAAAATGACTGGGGTGGTTAGCTTAATAACTATAGTGGAAGTAAGTTCAGAAATCTGTGATAGTCATATGAAGTCTCGCTTAACAACCATTTCACTTAGCAACAGTTGCTGGTCTCAATTGTAGTCACTAAGCAAGGACTAACTATAGCTAAATCTTCAGAACAAGAAAGAAACTGAGCCAAGATTGGAAAAAACATAATGTAATGATCCCCAAAAAACAAAAAATCAATCTCAACATAGGGTATAATTGTCATAATCAAAGCCACGAGAAAAATCGAGAACATAACTGAACATGTGGCACCATTTAGCAGATGAACCAGAGAAAGATAATTTCCTTTGTCTTTTAGATTACAATTACCCCCTCCTCCCACTGAGATTCAAAGAGACTTCTGTGGAATCCTCCAAAAGCTAGAATTTCCTTCCACAATAGCTTACATTTGCTGCAATATTGCCAGGGAAGAGGGAAACAAAGAAAGTCCAAAGAAAGTTACCTGGAGCAGCTGAGGGTTCTCTTGGCCTAACTGCTGCAGTAAAGCTGGGAGCAAAGCTGGATTCTGCTGTATCACCTGCCTCATATTCTGAAACTGGGGCTGATCTCGTAGAAATTCCAGAGGGTTCTCTCCTGTAGATCCAAGGAGTATTAATGCCACGCATTCAATAACAATGATAGCAAACAGGAAGAGGGCATTAAAATGTCTGAGGAATGTGCAGAAAGGAATGAGCCACTGTGCCTTCTAGTGTGAACAGCTATTCCCCACCACACTGTATCCTTATATGTACTAATTAGAATTTCTACTCAGAAAATGTTCTATGCCCACATTCTAATTAGTACGTATAAGGATACAGTGTGGTAGGGAATAGCTGTTCACGCTAGACAACTCACCTTCTGGTGCAGGCGGATCTTGGGGCTGGCTCTCCTGGATGGGAGCTCTCTCAGGTTCTGGACTACCCGGAATGCCCTGCAAAGTTAAAAAGAAAAAAGTAGAATTACAAAACTATTCCCAGACTGGTTTGATTGGTAAGTTGTCTAGAGTGGCTGGGAAATTGGGCATGAGCACACAATTACATCCAAGGGCAGAGTCTGCAGTCTTCTCTAAATTTCAGAATCAAGCATGAGTGGAAACTGTATAGAAAATTCATTAACACTGTTTCTATTATTGGCTCCAAAACCCAGGAAAACTTTCAGAGAAGAGAGAAAACATTTTCATTTTTCAAATCTCTCAGTCCTAAAATTATAGCCCATTAACAGCTACTACCTGCTTGTGCTCCATTCAGTTAATTCCATTAAATGTTCACTATTTCAATTTTCAGGAATTAGATAACTTAATTTTTTCTGTATGAATGTTGAACAAAGAGTGTAAGACCACAGGACCAGGTTAGGTTCACATGCTTTAGAATTCAGTTGCATAAAAAAGATTTGCTTTGCCTTCCCATCCTGAGTATGTTCTGTTAGACATTCATAAAACAATAGCTTCTGCTAAAAGTATACAAGGAGACACCCACAGAGACATTAGCAATCATGGAGGCCTTAGTCATCTACTTCAATGCCTCACAATATTGTATACTGTATGAGAAAAAATCTCCAAGACTCATTTTCAAATTTGTGTCAGTCAGTATTGCTGATATGTGGCTATCATTGAGATCACAACAAGAGATTAGTTGAAGAGAGAACTTTTTTCAGCTTCTTGTTAGATGCAGCAGAAGATACATTTACAAAAACAGAGACTGACTCACTGTATCGTGTGTGCAAACATCACCCCACTTTTGCAGATATGACTGAGTTAAACAGGAATATACACTCCTGTTCCAGATGTTTTGAGGTACAACTCTACATCTGACCCTGCCCACGCCTGTTAAGGTTTGTGAGAGGCATACTTCAAAATATCCAGAGAATCCAAGATTACCTACCTGACAGCAATTTATTCTGAGACACACCTATCACTCATGCAAGCCTGTTGTTCATCCAGTGACCAACTACGCCATATATCTGTTTAGATAATCAAGTGCTTGACAGACAGAACATTTTGATTGGCCCCTGCATTATACAGTGGCAAGCATTGTGTGCAGAGCAGAAGCCTCTTATTTGATCACAGGACCTGCTTGGTCAAAAACTAGTGTTGCTATGTCATCTCAAGAAGTAGACTAATGGAATGAGGGAAAGGGAAAGCAACAAAGCATTTGGAATACAAAAGAATATGATTCCTTTGAAAAAATGAAGAAACCTCCCAGGTATTTCAGCAGAATTCTTGAACAGACTAAATTCAGTAGTTCTCACCATCAGCAGGTATTCCACAGCTCGGTGTGGGTTGTTGTAGCTCGCCCGTAGTGCTGCTACTACCCGCTCTCGCTCATAGCCCATTGACATGATTTCAGTCAGCATTGTCTCATATTCTGAGCCAGTAACTGAAAGTACAAACAAAAGATAGCTTTGTATTATTGGAAAGCCTGCTGTTACTTTCATGGCTAAAAGCTTCCCCCTTCTCTCCAAAGAGCAAAAGCAGGCAAGCTTGCCTTATTGCATTATCGAACAATAATATAAGCACCAACTCTCCATTATCGGGTCCTCAAATATTTTTGAAAGCTAGAGGCAAAATGGAGGTTTCCATTCTCTCCCCACCCACAAAAAATCTTAGTAAATCATTGTAAATCATTTCAGCTGCAATGCAATTTCCTTCACAGAGATGGAGGTCCAATAATCAGGATTCCTGACTTTTAATCTCCAGGCAGCTTTCTTCCAGAAATGAAAACTGGAGTTCAGAATTCTTAGTTGCCATGCTATGTTTTGCTCCTGTTATAACAGCCAGCAAGAGGCAATTAGGCTGAATTACAGATGAATCACCCAAAACATTTGAATCTGAATGAAGAAAATTAAAACTTCCAAAGCATCATTTGTTGATTCTTGGAATGTGGAATGAGCCACTTCAACAGATTTCATCCTCATCAATCTTCATCTACACTAACAGTTTTTAACATTTCTAGACTGGAGATAATCTGGGCTTAAGTAATTAACGTTTTATTTAAAAAAGAACTGAATACTACTAATTTATTGTCTGCTAGATCTAAGCGTAGCAGTAAAGTGGAAATGTTCATTCCATTGTGGCTGATGAACATATCTGATGTTTTGAAAATAGGTAGATATTCTCAAAAAATGATTTCATAGAGGACCCAACCAGTTACAAGGATCAGTTTATCACAGTATCACCTACTACTCTCTCAGCTCTTTCTTCCTGCAAGATACTTTCTGCCCCCTCTACTTGTCAGCGTCCATTTTCTGGAAAGGTAGGCAGATGTCATAATAACGTAATAGGCTAATCTAATCTTTTTTTTTAAAGGGATCTATTTAAGAACCACAGACATTATTCAATTAAGACAATTAGGCTGCTGCTTTTTTTCCAAAATGTCAGTTTAAAAAAAAAAAATCTAATGGGGCAAAGATTCGGTTGAGTACCCATGTTGAAGTTAACAGTTGCTCAAAACAACACATTTTAGAGCTAAAGGGAAAAGATGTTAACCAGTAATGGCCATCAGAGGGCAGTATATTCAAACTGAATTATTTCAAGAAGCTAGCTATGAATCTCTGATGTAAGAATGTAGTAGTTGAGAAAAAAGATGCCATAGCACACCCCCCCCCCAACCTTTTGGCCACCAGGGACCAGTTCGGTGGAGAGGTTTTTTCGCACACTAGAGGGACCGTGCTTTCGCATGCTGCCTGCATCCTGCTTCGCTTGTTTGCACGGTCCGGTTTCTGGCATGCTGCAGGGTTGGGGACCCCTGCCATAGCCCCAGTCATAAAACAGCCAGTTGCAGTGAAGCTGTTAAAAATTGGTTTCTTTCTTGATCAGCAAAAGAAAGTATTCACCTACCTAAAGTGGAAGCTGCATCATCTTCACATCCCATGCTACCTGAAGAGGGAACAGAGCTGCAAATTTAAGAGAGAGAAGTAGTAGCTGCGTCCTTCCAGATAACTGGACAAGAAAGTTGAAAATCCAAAAATAATTCTAAGCAAAAGAATGACTGAATTCCCCTCCAATAAAAAAATCTGTCTTATATGCCCAGCTATGACCAACAATCATCGAACAACCGCTATGTGTAAAGATTTTGACCATGTCCACCTTTGACAACTGGAGTCAACCATTTCTTTAAAAGGGATAGGATGAAACTAGCAAATCCTAGTGACTAGGTTAGGAGTCAACAATTAGCACCAAGGCTTTCCAAAACATAAATACAAATAACACTGAATTTTCAGAACTATTCTTTCATTCTGAAAAATCATTCTAAAATTTCTTACTAAACTAGTAAGAGTTGTGGGATGATAAGATAAGCCAAACTTACCCAACTGTAGATTCTAGGGGAGAAACAGTCACTGACTCTTCAGGAGGCTTTTCCTCACTTGGTGGGGATGCTTGAAGGGGTGAAACAGTAGCTGCCATAGGCCCAGAGGAGGGTGTGGGTTCTGAGGTGGCTGCTGCATCAGTGGGTGAAGAAACAGGAGCTCCTCCTGAGCCTGTTTTGTTCTTAACAGAAAACCAAAAGAAGTGTCTCAGGTAAGGAGGTGAAGCTCTTTCCGTCTAAATTGCTGTATCATCAAGAAGGGTGAGCCTAAAAAACTGCTCTTTGTGTACTGAAAGTAATGTCTAACATATCTTTTGACTACCCACCCCCAATGCTGAAGTACCTAACAGACTAATACCAGTACCCCATTTCCTAATAAAAACGATTAGCACTACCGGTATTCATCCAAAGGGAAACTGCTGAAACACAGTAGCCCTTTGAAACAAGAAAATCGTTATCATGAAGCAAAGGAGATGCTCAACCATACCTTGGTGACCATCACCACTACGAAGTTCTTCTCATCAATCTTGTATTCCTTGATGGGGACATCATCACTCAGGATCTTGCCAGCATATATAAGCTTCTGGCCTGACACGGGGAAAGCTTCCTTGCCCTTTTCAGCCTCAATCTTCTCCTTAAGTACTCGGACCTGTGGGTCAAGACCAAGCTGGCTCCACCATCCACCTTGTACTGAATGCTTATAGGCCAATTCTTTCTATCCCAACAGTGTTGAACTATAGATGCAAGTGCCAGATGAAAAAATGTGGTGTGGAGAAGCTGCTGAATGCAAAGAGTGGGTGATGCATTCGGGGATAGAAACTGAGAAGTGGCCTGAGTGCGAGAACTTTAAATGACACATCACAATAACTAATGCTTTTTGAAAACCCATTCCTATTCATTAGGAATGGCAATGGTTTCTACAAATTGTTAGAAAGACAATCCTATTGTCTTGAATCCCATCACTCCCCATCTCCAAACCAAAGACAAGGATATATGGAATTAATGTTTTTATTTTATTTCCAAAAGCCTTAGTTACATTGGCTAGGCACTGTTCTCTCAAAATTATGTTCATTCCTTCCTATTCAACAGGCCGACCTGAGAACTGTCTTTTAACAACCAATGTTCCCTTTGTTGAAATATAGTACTCTATAATCTGGGCAAAGAAACTATTTTGTCCCAGGATAATGTTGCAGCATCCGTTCTGGGTCGGTCACCGGGACCAGAGGTTTTTTTTGTCTTCCAAGCTTTCAGACTCATGCTGGAGCCCAACTTCAGGGAACTGCTAGAAAGTTCCCTGAAGTTGGGCTCCAGCATGAGTCTGAAAGCTCGGAAGATAAAACCTCTGGTCCCATGATCGACCAAGATTGGATCCTGCAAACTATTTTGTCCACGAAAACCAATAAAAGGTGAAAAGGTGAAAACTCGCCTTATTGATGAGATGGGTAGCATATAAATGTAATAAGTATATCAGAAGTAAATAGTTTTTGTTCCAAACAGGAAAATGCTGTTGAAGAATATAAAATAACAGTTATGTTGCATTATCCTTCCAGATTGTATGGGATATTAATAGTTTCTTTCACTGTTTCAATTCATCTCAAAGGTATGAAAGATGAGGTCAAAGCAGACTTAACCTAACCTAATGTTTTGGGTTTTTTTTCCAAATGTGTTGGCCCAACTCTTGGAACCACCAACAAGCATGATCAATTTCCAAAATATCAGAAAAACTCCAGATTATGATCGGCAAATTTTTCACACAAGGTAAGTACTATTAAATGGAACAAAGACTAAATTTTATTACATCATTATTCTGAGACATACTGAAAAATATAGATGTAAAGTGCACAGTTATTTCTGTTACTTCAGATTAATCAGGTCATTACATAGAAACACCTCCCACTTATGCAAAGGAGAACCCTCCAATTATTGAATTGCTTAATGGCATATTAAAAAGTGTTGCATGCTACAATTCTATCTTGCAATTACACTTGAGTACAGAAACAGAGTACAAATTTCATTTGCTGTGATACTAGAAGACATGGAGGGTTGTTCATCAAATGTAATACAACAGTATTCATCATGAATACACTCTCTGTTGCAAAACTGAAAGATTATGTGCAATGATAGATAATCCAAGCATCACAATCTTGAATTTAAAATATATTTAAAATAAGGTTTTGAAGTAGTACTCTTTTGATAACAGCTTGTCTACTTACATATTCAAAGTGTGAACTCCCAGTTTTAAATCTTTCAGGGCCATATTGATGGGGATTAGCATCTATGGCTAAAAGATAGTAAAGAATGTTTTGGGCATATTCCAATTTTACTGATCAGTTCACTAAGGTGCAGAAATCTTTATATACCGTACATACAGACATACGTTTAATGTAAAGTCCTAAAGACGCCTTCTGTTTTCAAAAAGTTAGAATGAAAACAGTTAATCTGTGGAAGGTCTTGGTATTGTTAAAAACCTAGCAAAATGTGAAGATGACAATATGGGAGCTCTGAGCTAATATACATGTTCTCTCTCCTTATGTATTCTAACTTTTAAAATTCCTTCTGCTGGCAGAACTCTTATGCAGCAGTGGCCAAACATTCAATTCTCATTCTTCCTGGCATAGACAATAGCAATTGCTGTCTAGGTTCCAAATTGTGAAGGACAACTTTGCTTAATATTAAAGGCACTTTCTGAACTGAAATAGGTGCTCTTATAGCAAAAGCATCCAAATGAAAAGAATGTTTTGTTTGTGTGTGTATGAACACAAATATTCAAGTTTTACAACAACTTTATAACTTGAATGTAAAGAGATAATTAAGACCAAACTAGAAATAGGATAAATGCAAGTCTTACTCATTTGCAACAACAGATGTTGCACATAATCAATGAATTTAAGGACTAGAAGAGACTTAGAGATAATCTAATCCAGGGGTCCCCAAACTTGGCAACTTTAAGACTTGTGGACTTCAACTATGCTGGCTGGAGAATTCTGAGAGTTGAAGTCCAGAAGTCTTAAAGTTGCCAAGTTTGGAGACCTCTGATCTAATCCAACTCCTGCTCAGTTCAACCACTGATTTGTAACTTAAAGCATTGTGTTTACTAGAAAAAAGTCATAAATTACTCTTGACCCAATTATTTTCTATATGTATTGTTTTACTATCTGGAGTCATTTCAACATCATTTCATTAAAATAGGTTTAAATCTGACAAATCACTATAATTCTGTAACAAAAAGGCCAGAAAAGCCACAGAATTCATTGTAAGTAATAATGTTTTCACAATTGAAGAAAAGTTGATAAATAGGAATGCCATCGATCAAGAAACCTCATACATCTTATATGGGAGACCTCCAAAACCATTCTAAGTAGAATGGAAACACTAATGGTTTTAGGAAAGAGGGATATCAAGAAAGGTGTGATTGGAAATTAACTCTCAGAGACAAAAAGAGAATGTTAAAAAACAGAAAATATGTGGGCACAGAAAAAAACAAGGATGATAAGAAGTATAATTATTTTGGTTAGTCTTTTTTCTTATATCTTTCTCTTGGTTATTAATTACTACTGTATACACGATTTCCTGGCACTTTGCATAATACAACGCAATCCCCAAAAAGGAATAGCATGATGAGTATATATAACCCCCCCAGGCAACATATCATTTCATTTCAGGATTAGAAATGAAGGCTAAATATTATACTAAATAATGGAACAGCTTTTAGTTATCTGCCTCCTTCGTGGAAAGAAGCCGCATGAAAACCGGAACAACAGCACGCTGTTACAGTGTGGGACTTCAAGAGGAAATGAAGAAAAAAGCAGGATTGTTAATCCTCAGCAGCCTCGAACTGCAGAAACACAACAGAGAATGAGCTGCCAAGAGTTATGGGAAGGGAGAAAAGGAACCACTACTTTCCTTACGTGACTGGCTGGTTAGCATGTTCTCCTTTTAAAGGAGTGACATCAGGAGAGACAGATTAGAGGCAGATTCCCAGACAGGGAAAGCAGAACAGGGCGAAATAAATCCCCTCCCAAATGAAACACCGCGAGCGAAATGCACTGAGAAGCAAAAGAGGCGCTTGTTCAAAGATGATTTCGGCGGAGGACCCGTAACTGGGGGGGGGGGGGGGGGGGGGGAGGACGCACAGACTACACACGGGAGGAGGGCCGGAAGAGGAGAGGACCAAAGACCCGCCGCCCCTCACCGTCTCGTCAGGCTCCATTCGGATCTTGAATGTCTGCTGTTGCAGAGTCTTCAGGGTGACGGTCACCGCCATGGCGAGAGTTGGCGGAGGGAGGCTGCGGCGAAAACTGGCGGTTCCTCCCAACGGACTCAGCGGAGGCCCCCCCACAACATGCAACTTCACAACGACGCCATTTTACGCGCACTTCGCGCCGCTTCCGCTCCCAGCCTGACTCTTCCCACGTGATGAGAGACAGGAAAGAAGGCTTCACCATAGAGACGGAGAGGAGCTATGGGCCGCTTCTCTACATTGCTCGGCTTCCGGATTGTCTTGGGATTTAGTGTTCTGCGGCGTACGGCTCCCGGGAAGGGTTGGTGCGCGGATCATCGGCGGCGTTCGACTGCGAGAGGGACGGCAGCTGGCGAAGCGGTAGATAGAGCAGACTCGGGGTCAGCCGATCCAGGGCTTATTTCCAAACATTAACCGCATGATTAGCTGCGCAATCAAAGCTCTCCGACTCTTGTTCAAAGCTGAGCTTTTTACTTGCATACACAGGATTACCCGCATTCTTCGTATCAAACTGTTGTGGTCAACTTCTCCGCAAGTTTGCGATATATATTCTCAAAATTCCACAATGGTTAGCTGTTCTCAAAATGTAAACTACTATAAGGGTCATATACTACTATATATTTTTCCATTCCATTGTATTTCTCAGACATTGCAGTTTTCTTGGCAAGGTTTTTCAAGTGGTTAGCTCCTTCCTAGGACTGTGACAGGCCCAAGGTAACCCAGCCCCTTTGTGCCTAAAGCAGGATTGGAACTGACAATCTCCCAGTTTCTAGCGGGATGCCTTAACCACCACTCGGAACTGGCTCTCCAAGGATCTGGTATCACCATGCATTAGAATACCAAAACCCTTTGTTAAACCGCATTTCCGGTCTACCCCAATCAATAAAGACGACGAAAGATCAGCATATGGGCCAGACAGTGAAGTTTAATTTAATAGAAATTTTCTTCAATCTTCCATACATTCAAGTGTGAACAAGTGGGATGACCCATCTGATACTGTTCTTTCCACCTCCAGAAACCCCTCCCACCCTCCTCTCTGCCTGAAGAGAGACCTTTTACATGTAAACACCCACCCCAATTCCTACTCTTATCTTCCTGCTGGGGCTCTAGAATCCCTCCCTGAACAACCCAACACCCAAGGAAATAGGCTAAAAGCTAGAATGCAGAATTAAAAATTAAATTTGCTCAGTACACTGTGCTTTTGAAGAACCTGATCTGTATAGTAGGCACAGAAGGACGGTGCCTACTCCCTGACTGGAGTCAGGATCTCTATCAATACCACTGGCCTTACAAATGGTGTAATACTGGTTATCTCAATTTAATGTCTTTGAAATCTGGAGCTATCTATGCTACCAAGCCCTCCCATCGCCCCACCCAACACTCCCCTGTACCTTCAAAGGATAAAGGCAAACTTTAGATGGACACAAGAGTTTTGCTTTTTACATCCATTGAGAAGGGCTAGTTAGAGGCAAATTTTTACTGCAAAAGTGGCCACAAAGAAGGGGAAGGGTCAATGGTATTATTTCCCTTTCCAAGGGCTGTATTCCTACAATTAGCCTTCTTCTGATGCAGGTTCTAGTCCCCCATTCCCCCCTACACACATGAATGAGTAATTGATGATATTTGGGAAGGAATTAAGACAAACACACCAATAAAAAAGAAAGTTCTTGTGTCTCATAGAGACATAACTGTTATCCCCTCTCCTTAGTTGGGTTCAACTGCATGGTACAAGTCCAGGGCAAGGCTCAGCCAATAAGTATACCCAACAACCCCCAATCACAGCTCGTCCTTCAATGGGCCCTCTGTTTCCTCTTCATCTTCCTCCTTTTCTTCCTCCTCCTCCTCTTCTTCCTCTTCATTATCTTCACCCTCGGGTTCCTCTTCTCCTTCTCCTTCCTCTTCTTTCTTCTTCTTATCTTCTTCTTCCTGCTTCTTCCGCTGGTCTTCGTCTTGCTGCTCTTTCATTTTCTTTTCAGCATCCTAATGAGAATTTAAAAGGAAATACATTATTGATTCAGGACTTGCTGAAGAAAGCATCACAGCAAACAGGACCAGGCAAGGTTTTGTTTTTTTAAAAAAAATAAGGATTTAGTGAGACAGAGATTGGACAAGAGATAAAATCTAGCTCCAAGTTATCCAATGACATGGCTTGACTGAGGATGGTCTTAAAATTACATTTCCTTAGCTAAATGTATCCTGAGAATACACAAGAGATTCTAAACCAGTACTTTCCAACTTCTGCAATCTTGAATGTATGGACTTCAATTCAACTCTCAGAACTGGCTGGGCCATTGCAAAGGGCTAATCCTAAAAGGATTATCTCAAAGTTGCAAAGACTGGGAAACAATGTTTAAACAGACTGACATCTAACAGAATTTGGAGAAAAATCTGACTGCTGTGGGAACAAACTTGAGGACACAACTCAAAACTAGTCTATGATGGCATTTTTTTTACAGATTTATATCCCATTCTTTGCCTAACGTATTTCAGGGACAATTCACGAACAAAAAAGCCTTTAAAAGGTTTTTGTAAATGTATTTTGCTATTAATCAAAATGCAAAATACTTTCTGGAGAAATAGAACGAGAACTTTAATTTCAGCCTTTAAGACACCCATTCATGTATGCTTTCATACAAGGAATAGGATTTGGGCCAAGTCACTAAGTAACAGTTTGGTTCACATCCATTTCTGAAGTTCAAAATCTTAAATATTTGAGAACAAGGAACAGGTTTCTAATTCCTAAATTTTATAAAAGCCAAATATTATTTCTTATCTATGAAAAAACATTTCTCACCTTAGTAGCACCCCACGTTTCATTGCCAAATTCTTCAGCAAACTTCTCATCATCAGTAATCAGGAAATTGTCAAAAATTGTGCCAGATTTCACCTAAAACACAAGGAAAAACTGTATTACAGCTAAAGCTTGCCAACATTTTGATGATTTCTCAAACTAAATGGTGGAAGATATTACTCAGCATACCATTCGTTCCTATTGGTTTCTGACCACAATTCAAAGTGCTTCTGATGGCAATTGCCAAGCATCAGAATTTTAATCATGTGACCATCGGTATGCTGCAATGGTCCTGTGAAAACAATCATAAGTCACTTTTTTCAGTGACTTAACTCTAACGGTCATTAAATGAACTGTTATAAATCGAGGGCTACCTGTTTAGACTAAAGGGGAATATTTATTTTATAAGTACAAACTACAAAATGTCTTCATTTAGTGATTGTCTCATTTAGTGACTTTTCAAGTTACTAGAGCGATGAAAAAGTAGGTTTACAACCAATTCTTGCATTTACAACCTTTGCTGGTCTGCAATGCAAAAGAATCAGAAATTAAGATAAGCAGTTTTCACTTAACAATTTTGCTTAACAACCAAGTTGCCAGTCACTGGACTATCTGTATAGTAAATTGCAGATTTAGAAATGATTTGCTATTTAATGTACTGATAAAGTTTCAAACAGATACTTTATTGTATTTTACATTGACTTTGTTCTCATTTAGAATAATACCTTAAAATATTGTAAGTCTCCCAGAATAATACAGGAACTAGAAAAAGATTCAGAATAATTCGTAGAAGTCGGGACCGAAGGTTCATTCTTTCAAGCTTTTAGGCTAGTGCTGCAGCACATGCTCAGGAAATTTCTCTCTTCAGAATGTGTGTACTGGGCTATTTTACTAGCTGTATTTGTATAGTGCCTGATTATGCATGGCTTTTAGTTAATAAACATGTTGACAACTAGCCTAGTTCCTTAAGTTTCTGGTAAGCTAATGGTAAATCAGCACTCCTACTGACTGACAAGGAGCCCCATTCCCAGGCTTCAATCATTTCTCTGGCTATTTTTGTCCCTGCCCAAGCCATCAATCAATCTTACGGTAGTAGTTGTGAATTGAATGTATGTCCTTGTTCATCGCAATGTAAGGCTATCAATAAATTTTTATCTCACCTAACCGCTAATAATGATAGAAACATAATTTGTAGTTTTTATAAGATACAATCCTCAATCATCAGAACAGTTACTTGAGTAGTTTGGCTTCCCACTTTTCAAAAGGTTTGTTGGAAAACAAGCAAGAACTTACCTGCCACAAATCCAAGCCAAGACGACCAAAGTCCTCATAAAAGTACAGATTAGGATCAGGGGTATATTCAGGATTATCTATCTCGGGATGAATCCACTTTCCTTTGTAGTTGGGGTTATCAATTTGACGAGGTTTCCATTCTCCCTGTGAAACATTGAATGTTTTAAAATGGAAAATTCAGAATACATCAAATTCTATAGCATGTAGGTATAGCAATATCCAGCATTTGCTACTTAAGCATGTATGTATAAAATCAGTCAATCCCCTTCTGTGGTCAGCCCCAAATGTCTTACACATCCAATTGGCTTCCAATAAGTGCTCCTCATCTGGCAGCCTGCACCTGAAACATTAACCTGAGCCACTCTGGGTTATGAGACACCAAGGAGTCTCTTTGACATGAGCAACCTTCCAAACACCCAGAGAAAAAAATTGTTCATATTCATACCAAGCTGGATACCAGACATGAAAAGACAGAGTTAATGCACTGTGAAATAATGCAGGATTCTTTCAATCCTGGAATACCTAAGGCAAGGGTGTGCAGCCTTAAAACACTCAGAGCCATTGGACCAGTTTCCCACAGAAAACAAAACACCGGGAGCCACAAAACATGGTTAGTTGTGGCCAACTCAACTTACTCCCATCCAGTCACATGGCTGTTTCTCTTTTTCCCACCTTCTATCTCTTTTCCCCCTATTTCTTTCTCTTTCCCTCCCCTCCCTTTCTCTTTCCCTATTTCCCTTTCTCTCTCTCCCTCCATCCCCCGTGTGTGTGTGTGTGTGTGTGTGTGTGTGTGTGTGTGTGTGTATTCTCTCTTGAACCATTTCCCAAAACTGGCAAGGGCTGTTTGTTTTGCTGATGTTTATATTTGTTTTGTTTCGTTCTTCTTTGGATGCTTTTTACAATATGATTTAAATCAAGCCATTTCAACTTCCCAGATAAATGAAGCTCTTTTGTCTCCCTACTGTAGTTCCCCGTCAGCTGAACCACCGACTGGCCTTGCCCCTCACCCTCTCCTCCGTTACTTCTTGCCTGGCATGAGAAGGTAAGGGTGACGGTGAGCTCCGTATTCCAAAGCGGGAGTGAAACTTGCCTCCTCTCTCAGGCTCTTCTTCTGATCCTTGGTGGTCATTCAGGGAGACTTGCTCTCCGCCTTGCACAGCAAAGTTAAATTTAGCGCACTTCACAATGGGGGAAGACGGTGTCCCCTCCTCCTCCTGGAGCCCATTACAATGCAGAGCATCAGCTGCAGCTGAGCCAGTGTCTCTAGGCAAAGGGCCACACCACATCAACAAGGGCTAGAAGAAGCGCCAAGACCTGGCAAGTACAGGGGCGCTTCCATCCCCCGCAGTCACCCTTACTTCTCAAGCCAAGCGAGGAGTGACTGGGAGGGGAGGCGCACGGCCAGCCAATGGTGGGTTCAGAAAACGGAGCCACAACAGGACGACAAAAGAGCCGCATGCGGCTCCGGAGCCATGAGTTGCCGACACTCAATCGAAGGAAATAATGGAATCTTCTGAAAATGAGCTCAGTACCTTATATTTACATCTCTGCCCCTGGATAATACAAGCAGCCAGAAAGGTAATAACACCAGGGACCCAGCAAATGATAAATGCACCACAGGTAAGGGGTTAATGCCAACTGCCTAAAGAAGCAAGGTTATGAAGGAATGGGTGGAGCAATACATAGTATTCTCAGCAATAGACTCCCGAGGCCAGGATAGCCCTTATCCTTTATGAAAACAGATGCAAATCTTCCTCTGCCACAGGGATTTGGGAAATGAGCTTTACAGAACATAGCATATTTTAATGATTTTAATATTTATGGTTTCAAACAGTATTGCTGCAAGCTGCTTACAAGTCAGATTGCTTGCAAGTGACTTTAACAAATACCATATTTTTCAGACTATAAGATGCTCTGAACTATAAGACACACCTAGCTTTTGGGGAGGAAAACAAGAAAAAAAATCTGCCTCTTGCCTCCCAGCAATTTGCCTCCTTGCAGCAAACAGCCTTGTCAGCATCAGCACAGCCTGGTTTAGCATGAGCAGCTGATTGTCAGTTGGATCTGCCTCCCAGAATACTGACGATCAGTCTGCAGGGATCACCATCTCTTATCGCCACCTCCGCAGCCATTTTTGGCCGTGCGTCCCACGGGAAGCGCGGTAGCCGAAAACAGGGCATGCAGAGGCAGAGATTGGTGGTGGCAATCCCTGCAGACTGGAACAGCTGATTGTAGGTATTCCAGGAGGCAGATCCAACCAACAATCAGCTGCTCATGCTAAATCAGGCTGTACTGAAGCCGACCAGACTGTTTACTGTAAGGAGGCAAATTGCTAGGAGGCAGAGGCCAAAGGGTGGGTGGGGCAACATTCACTGTATAAGATGCAGACATTTCCACCCACTTTTTTTTTTTTTTGGGGGGGGGGGGGGAGATGTGCATTTTATACACCAAAAAATACAGTAATTTTTCATATAATCCATATTTTTAAAATAAATGCTTTTTAAATAAATTATTCGTGGATACATTCCTTTTGGACAAAAAGGAGAAATATTGTATAAACATCTCTTTTAAAAGCCCACTTCCTAGTCACCTAGATATTTTAAGCTATTACCTTGTAGTCTGGATTCTGGATTACTGGTGGTTCCCACTCCCCATCCATCTCTTCATCCCAGTCCTCAGGTTTCTTGGCATCGGGATCAGGAATATGTTCTGGTTTATCCCAGTCCTGTAATATAGATGGAAAAAAAATCCCTGTACAAATTTCATGTAATTTTTTAACTCTATCCTCTCCATTGGTCTGCACAAAAAAACCCACAATCCATTTCTTGAGTGTTCTGGGGTAAAACAGTTTTGATTTTTGGGGGGCTAGTTTGTTCTTGAGTGAGAAACATGGTTATAAACCATTAGCACCTACTGACCTCTGGTTTTGTATCTTCAGGATCATCTATCTTTGCTCTTTCATCCCAGTCATCTGGTTTCTTTGCATCTGGATCCTTAATTTTCTTTGGTGGCAGAAAATCCCAGTCATCCTCCAAGCTGCCAGACTCTACTTTATTGTTGTCAATCTTAACCTCGTATGTATTATCAGGTCGAACAATAAGGGTATAGAGATGGCTGAACTCATCATCCTATCAAAGGAATTATACTGTTAGCAAATTCTCTCTAACCAAGTTTAGTTATTTCTTTTCCTCCATGCTCAAAGTTACCTTCATCAGAGCTACCATGCTACACTGCAATTCCTCTCTTTGGCTCTACTTCATAGAACTTATCACCTTTGTCATTCTTCTCTGACCATTTATCGTTATATGTTTTCTTTATCAAATTAGTATGTTACCCATCTCACTATCCAAAGCAACTCAGTTGGTTCACAATAAATTCATAAACGTTAAAATTCACAAGAATTAGATAAAAAATTAGAAAAATAATATTGCTAACTTCCCTAAACATTAAAGTGCCATCATGGAAAGGAATTCCCATTGTTGTCTCTACCTCCCATTCCAAATACTCACTTTACAGCGAATATCTTTATTGATCAGAACATTTTTGCCTTTGTAGTTGAAAATAACATGTACTTTCTTGGTACCTGGACCACAGATATCAGGACCTAAATTGGAAACAGAAAATCCAGCTGAGTCTATATTGAGAGAACCCTGTATCATCTCTCAGACATGCAACTCATTCCATCAGCCTTCCCCACTATCAATCTTCATGCATTTCAAATTTGGAGTATGGTGAAGATGACAGCCTAAGATTAAAATGCTGTAAATATTAAATGTGCTCTTTTTTATAATGCCTAATTGCTATGAGAAAGGAAGAAAGAAAACGGAAAAATTAGATTTTCTCTTTCTGGGAAGTGGCCATGAGGCAAAAGGGATACAACAGACAATATGAAGATGGCATAAAATTATGATACATGGATCATAGCCGTTTAGCAGTAAATGAAATTACCATAATTAATGGACATTGGAATTCTAGACTCCATGAATATACTAAAAATTCTAATGATCAGTAAAAATGGGTTTATAGTTAAAACTGAACACCTAATCATAAATTCAAACCAATTTATCTGTAACCTATAAAATAAAATATCTAACATTTCCTGCAGGTTTTATGAACTGTCAATAGAAAAGGAAGCAATATTACTAAGGGACTATAATCTGTAAATATTTTAAAACTGGCTTGCCCCTGCCTTCTTCCTAGGATTGCAAGAATGATTAGCTCAAAGGTGCCCAGTTATTTCATGCCTAAATTAAATGCCTAAGTTCCAGCCTAGATGGCTGGAACTTGGTTTCCTGGTTTCTAACCTAGTACCTTAAACCACTACACTAACTGGCTTTCTTGACTGTATTAGGAAGATTATTCTATTATGCATGCATTATATAGGGGGAATTAAGGAACATGTCCAGCCATCTCGACTTGCCAAACCCTACAAGACATTCCATACACACATTCTTGCACCCCTTTCATGCAACAGTGGAGGAAACAATGAAATGCTTTTATTTAGAAGTCTTCTATGTTGTAGGACTTTTAATTACTTGAAGTACACCACCAGCATTACTACTGTATACATCTTCTATTCCATAGTCTAGTCTCTAATTACCATGCAACAGTGCGAAGATGCACTGCATACTATGAATAGTGCTATCTATATGCTTGTGAAAAGGATGAGAAAACTGGATAAACAAGCGTGTCTATTTGTGTAAAGGTTGTACAGTAGCTCTGATTCCCCTCACAAGTACTATTGATTTGGACTACTTATCTGAAAGGGAAACTGGGATGGGAGGAACACCTACTCTCCAACCTAATTTGTTATCAAGGAAATACGTTATTTCCTAAGATAGGAACATATTTCATTAACCATACTACCTCAACACAACACCATGCAAGATTAGCAATTATTCCCCACCCTGTTTAATAGAATTCCCATGATTACTTATAGATTCTTACAAGGCCATTTACTAATCTTCAATTTGCTCCATGAGCTCAGTGGTTGCTGATTTTCAAAAAAAAGCTTGCTGATTATTGTTAAATAATGCTATTCTCTTGTGCTACTTAATAACTGCAATAAAATTAAAGACTAAATGATCAAGCAACTATTTTCCCTCACTTCCCAAGCAGGCACGCACCAAACATGATGTTGTATTCAGAATCTCCATGCATGTCTTCTTGTTTCAGGGTTGAAGGGAAGAGTTTTATATATCCACCTCCACAGTCAATATTTTGCTCATGTTTTACTGTGAACTGCACCACCAGAGTCTTGTCCTTGTTGCTAAAGGAATCAAAGCTAGCAGAAATGGCATAGAAACGAGCATCTTGGCTTGTTTGAAGTCCTGGTAAGATTAAAAACACAGTTAAATCCTTTGCCTGGAATAGGGGTACTAAAAAGACAATGCAATTTGATTTCAAGCTACAACCAGTCCTCTGTATTAATAATCAAGATGCACTAAAAATAGCAATGTCAAGTACAAAGCAGTGCATCAAAGATTAACTTAGTAGGCTTCAATATATTTACTATTCGAATATTATTCTTCTATGAAGCAGCAGAGGCAACATGAACAGTTTAACTACTTAAGTAACTGAAATAACTGACAAGTTTAATAATGCATAGCACTATAATCAAGGCCTCAGGACCAACTGTGATTTATTCACAATTCTACAATTACATCATCATCTTACCTTTGTCCTTTTCTGCATCTCCATAGAATTTGCCAGAAGTAAGTATGAATTTTCCATAATCTGATTTATGCTTTGATTCTACCCAACGGCTTGTCCAAGCATCTAATAGGAGAACAAGGCAACACAATTTGAATCTGTAGAGTTATAAAGATTAAAAGTACATTATTTGTGTATTGCTGGAATACTAACAGTCCCCAAAAGCAAAGATTTCTTCCTATTAAACAATGATCTTTACCATTTCTGCAGTTTCAAAGAGCGTGATTTTTGCAACAAGTTTACCTTTTTATTCAGTTTCTATGTTGTTTTGGAAATGCCAAACTACAGGAAATACTTTGTATCTGTAAGATATTACTAGCAGAGAAAAAAGGCCCACATTTCTGGTTAGTTTTAAACCATTCACTGGAAAGGTTTTAATATCGTTCTATGGATAGAGTTATTCATCAGTCTTAGTGATACTGTGGGGTTTATCTTGGGAAGATGGCATATGCTGCAGTTAAGTCACCAAATGGCATTACTGGGCCTTCTTTTGAAATATATATTCAAATATTTTAAAGAAAAACAATGGCACAAGAGGCACCCAATTCTTACAAAAGTTTTATCTCAAAATCTCCAATTCAGGTTTGTTCCAGTACAGCATATTTGGTTCTGTATCAGAAAATCATAATCAAAAATAAATGCTACTGCCATATAAACTATAGGTCATCCTTGACTTACAACCACAATTGAGCCCAAAATTTCTGTTGCTAAGCAAGACAGTTAAGTGAGCTTTGCCCCATTTTATGACCTTTCTTGTCATAGTTATGCAGTTTAGTAAGATAGTTGTTAAAATTAATTTGGCTTCTCCATTGACTTTGCTTGTCAGGTCGGAAAAGGCAATCACATGACCCCAGGGCACTGTTATCGCCATAAATACATGCCAGTTTGCCAAGGGTCCAAATTCTGATCACATGATAGTGGAGATGTCTGCAAACCGTTGAAGCTGGTCATAAGTCATTTTTTTCAGTGCCTTAGAGTAAGTTGAGAACAGCCTATATTATGATTCTCTGTGTTAAATACTTTCTGTTACAATGCAACAGAATGCAGTGCAGAACTACTACTCAATGTATTATCTATTTAACAGAAGTTTATACGTGTCATTTTCAGTATTCAACAATGGGCGGTTTGTGTGTTCTAGAGATATCCCATGGTGATCTATTTAGTCCATGTTCTATGTCCCCATGGCCCCTTCTGATTATGGTTTAATTATCAAGTCCCCAATGGATCTCTGATCTAGACTAAACACAACACATCTGTTATCACATCTGCTAAATTTCCCTCTTTGACAAATTTTCAACATCAGATAGCACTTTCCCAAAGTATTTTTACAACTACAATCAGATTAATTCCCTCTTGACATATTTATCTAAAATGGCTGTGACTGTGATCACTTCACCGGTCACAAGAATTGCTACATTACTATAAAATATCCATGGCATAAAATCAGAGTAGATAGATCTCTACTTCCAATTTATTAAGATACTGAGCTGAAACAGAAAACATGGAAATCTAAATTTTGTAATCTCTAGCTCCAATTTACTTCACAGCTGACAGAGGATAAAGCACATATACCCTGTGTCTTGAGCTTCCAAAGGAAACCCTCGGAAATACAATTGAGTAAAATTTTAAGCCACTGTATACCAATTCTTGGTTCCATAATCAGATTTTTTTAAAATCATACCACATTAGAACCCGGAGCCACCTATGAGTACTTTCCCTCTTTTAAGGTCATTTCACCCTACACTCCTCTTTTCCTCCCGTCAATCCTGCTTTGAAGCTCGCCTCCTTCACAAGATCCCACAACCCAGGCTGCCCCCGCGTGCACCTGACTAGATGCAATATGGCAATGCTGTTAATCTACCCATCGAGCTGGATCACGGAGATATTAATCAGAGGACGACCGTAAGACCTGCTAAAAATTATGCTGTTGTAATTAACACCTCGTCCCCGAGAGCCTGCGGGAACAGCACAACTTCCTGAGCCCCCCAAAATACGGACAATCTAAGATGGCCGGGAATGGGTGGGTGGTGGATGCGTGCCCGCAAAGGCGAGAAACAGAAACCGACAGTCCTTCACTCTGGCGGCACTCCCAAAGCCACCCAATCTCTGCCCATATGCCTCCACTCCCCCTCCGGGCCCGTAGTGATTTGCTTGGATTAGAAACCCAAACGGGCCCGGGATTGTTCTGCTTTAAAATCAATGCTCTTAAAAAATAAGCGGACCAACCAATCCTCCACCAGGTACTCCTAATTTGCATGTCGTTAAATTCCTCTCCCCATCCTAGAACCGCCGCACCGCCACCCCTGTCAACGCTGGACGGCGTCTCACCTCCATCCCCGAATTCCTCCCTGAAGTACTGGGTAGGTCCGGCCGACACCAGAGCCAGCAGAGAACAGAAGGCTAGAATGGGATTCATTTTGTCTCCGCTGGGGGAGAGGCGCCTGGCCCTTTAAGAAGCGCAACCTTCACCAAGCTATCTGACAGCGATGACCGAACAACTGCAGCCGGCAAAGGGCTTTCGCCACGCTTTTATAGCGCACTTAGTGGAACGCCTGCCCTCGCCGTGTTCTGATTGCGCGTGCTGATCCGGACGGGCGCTACCATTGGCCTGCCGACTGTACGGCGGGTTGGACTGCTCCTCCGCACGTTGGCGTCCCAGATGTCTACTTCCTATTGGATACTGGACCTGGCCAATGAGGCACGACCACGCGTTCGGGGAGATACCTCCCCCCTCCGCCGTGTGTGCGTCACCGTTTTTTTGCACAACTCCGAGTGTGGCTAACCACTTTTAAAGGCCCAGGTGAAAAAAACCTTTCTTCGCACCTAGCTCTACAACAATCCTATTCCAGCCTGGCCAAGTAGCAAGAAAATCACCAAACAAGCGAAATCAGTTCCAGCTTTGCAAGAAATTACACGAGGAAAAGCTTAACCTTTGCTTTCCATTTGGTCAAGTCCTGGGTTGATTTAGCCCAGCATATTCAAAACCAATTGTTAGTGGCTCAACAAAAAACCCAGGTCAAATTGATTCTGTCAACTGTTTTTAATGGGTGCAGATGTTATCCTCAATATTTTGCACCTTTCCCTGGAATTATAAAGACCTGTGTAATAATTTGTTGTAATTTCAAACACTGGCATCTAATAGCAATAGTTGGCTTTATAGAGCAGATGTTCTTGCAAAACACATTCTGTATGAAACTATTGTAGCTGATACTGAAATACCTGACAAAAAGAATCTGAAAGGAATATAGTACTGAAATTCTGCAGTGCAGTTATTTTAAAACGTTTTCAGAAGGACATTTTTCAAAAGCTATTTTTAGTGGTTGACAAAAAAGAGTGAGTCTGATGTTGCTTGGTGTCAGCTGGTGCTCCACTCAAAATCCAAGAAAGAAATACTTAGACTCTTTTAATCAGAGAAAAGATATCTTTTACTGGAAATCAAGTGGTAGCAACAAAAGAATTCTGAATCTGAGAAAATGAGTATCTGAGTAAATCACATATACAAAGTAATGGCAACGTTCCCACCCCCAATAGTTCAATTGGCTCATCCAATTAGTTGTGTATATCATGTGGGCATCTCCAGGTGGTGATGAGGCTTCTGTCTATTGACCTTGACATAGTTTGATAAAGAGTTGCAGCTGTGCATAGCATAGAATAGAAACCTAAGCAAGAATGTACCCACCCACCCCCACCCCCCAGTTTATACAGTTCTGGTTTGTAACACCTCCAGCTCACTTCCCATAACCATACTGCCTCGGGTATAGTTTGGGCTCAAAATGAAGGACCTCTTAGGAAAGGGGTAAGGTCAATAGTAGACAACCTAAGGTTAAAGTTTTTGGGGTTAGGGGAAGAAGACTTCAGCCCTGATGATTGGATAAATTCTATGGAGACTGTTACGGGGAGCTGGACCACTTACCAAGGGGTCGTCATTGGTGTCAGTGTTGCTCAATCCCTGGCCATTGGTCAGCAAGATGGAAAGAGTTTTGGGAGACAGGGTGAACTCAACCTCCACCCCCTTCAGCACAGTTTCTCAGGTCTGCTGAGACAATGGCTTTCTAAGTGGGACTAAGGGTGGCCTTCTTGGTGGATCACCTGGTTTTGCATCCTGCTGCCTGCTGCCCCTTCTGATCACACTTGAAGCAAGCGATTGAGCGTGGCTGTGGGTTCTCTGGTTTTGCCAGCTCTCTCTTCACTGGGAGTGATTTCTTCCACCCTCACCCTGGGCAGCATTTGTTGCATACTTAGTCAATCTCCACTTCTTCGGCCAAAACATACCAACCGTGAAGGGTCAGGGAGACCCCCCTTGAAATGCAGGTGTTGTAAATGTCATTGTTCAGCCCATCTTTGAAACAGCTGATAAGGATGTATTGTGGCCAGTTGGTGAGCCGACATGCCAGATCATGGAATTATTTGGTGTACTCTGCTAACCTTCTCTGACCCTGCTGGGTGTTTTTTATGCGATCCCTCGCTTTGCAGTCAGCCAGGGGGTTTTTGAATCATCACCAGAGCATCACCATAAAGCGGTTGAAGTTTCTCAGCTCTAGGACATTTTTGTTGTGAAGTGTGACCATCCTGCGTGCAGCAGCTCCTTCCAGCACCAGGATGACACTCCTTACCTTAAGACCTTCAGTAGGCAGTTCGGGGCTATACTCCTGCATGTATGTCAGGACATGAGCCAAGAAGAACCCCAACTGCTAGGAGTCTTCATCGAACTTCATCCCAAGTGGTGGGGGTCTTCTGACTCTTCCTTCTGATTGGGCAGCCCCAACCAGGAGGCAGCTCTGGCCAACCCCTTCAGTGGTGTTCCTGTGGCTGCAGTAGTGGCGGCTGGAGTTGTTGAGGTGCCTGACATGGTGGCTATCAGCGATGCTCATCTATCGTCATCCTCCACCTGGGTTTGCCGGGCCTCAATCATGGTGGACTTAACAAGGGACACATGCACCTTGAGGATTTGGAATGTATTCATCATGAACTTCATGGCTTGCTCCATCATGAGGTTGGCATGGTTGGCTCTCCGCCTGCCTCATCATCCTCGAACTCTTCCAGCTTCGGTTGCTGCTCCTGTTGCTGGGTTCCATGGCTACCACAAGTGAGGGTCACTCCCTTGGATCTTCCTTCCCAATCATCCTTCTTCTTGATGCCTATGGGCCACCTGGGTCTTAACAAGTCACTACATTCTCCATCTTCTTCCATCTACTCCCAGGGGAGGTCTAGTCCCAGGGGAGCCCTGGATGAGGCTTGCCTCCCAGCATTTGGCTTCTTCCTGGTCACTGCCTTGGGCCGACATTGGGTGCACAGTCCCCTCAGTAGAGTGACAGGTTTCTCCAGGTTGACCAGTACTGTAGATTTTGCCTAACGTCAGACCTACTCCAGTCTGCCCCTCAGGAAAGCAACACTCTTGAATGCATTGAGTTGAATCAAAAGAACTTTTACTGAAACTGGATGCAGTAAAGTCAGCCAGAATCCCACTTTCATTTAGTAACGTTTTTTTCTACTGTATGAACATGACACTGTTTTCACCTCATCCCTAGCCCATGAATGTGAATGGTTTAAGTTGTCCTTAGCAGTACTGTTATTCAATTAGTATTTTCTACCTTATTCTAACACAGTTCAGGGACATTAGTAGGGTGTATTCAAATCTGTCCAGGCTTTGTAACCTTAAATCTTAAGGAGAAATCAGTTGTAATTAAGACAAGATATGGACCACTAATGTCAGCCAATGTCATGATCATATGTTAATCAAGGATAGGTGTGGGGTACTGCACTTCACCAGTTGGAAATGGCCCATTCTGTGTCTACCCAATTTGCCTTACAGAGTTAAGGAGATAAAAAGAGAGCCCCAAAAGAAGTAGAATATAAATCTAATAAATAATTTTACAAGAAGACAACTACAGGTTGAAATTTGGGTATAACCATACATCATCAAGATTAAACGCAATGGGAGCATCATCCCTATTGGCATACTTGCTTCAGTCAGGAGACAGTTATAAGAACCAACAGTTTTCTGTTCTCCAGTTCAGAATCCATGTGATCAGTGAAGCCAGCCAGATTTACCCTCCTCCTCCTTTTTCCACTGCTCTGACAGCAGCCTGCTTATGCCACCTGCAAAGTATGCCTCCTCTTGTTATATCAACCTCTCTCTGAGTCTTACCTGATGTGGGTAATTGGCAGAATTACCAGCCAGGTGTGTGAGAAAATGCCTTTCTACTCACAATATACCTGGAAGCAATTGGGCTGAGAAGGTTGTGACAGGGCAGCTCAGTAACCAGAGACAGTAAGCAAAAGAGGAAGATACTAACCATTATGGGACTGTAATGGGAGACAGCTGTCTGAAGAACAGAGGGGTGTGACAATGGCTAAGAGGATAAACTAATGTTTCTTTACTGAAAGTATCCAAGGCTGGAGGAGAACATATTGTATCAACCCAATTTCAGAGAGACTATTCTGCACTTTAGGAAACCTTATTCCTTTGAAGACTAATAGTGTAGTGGTGAAGTTTTATCTAAATAGAAGAACTCCTAAGGACAATACTTATAGCCACATTTCTAAGAGTATTTTATTATTTTATTTCTATCAAATTTATTGGCCACCCTTCTTACCACAAGGTAACTCTGGGCAGCTTACAATATTTACAACATTTATAACTCAATAAAAGGTGTATATCTACAAATAGCATGTTGAATCCAGTCACAGGCAAATGAAATAATTCTGCTCATCCTCTATGCTAATCTGTTCTAATCAATGGCAATATTGAAAACAATATTAACATGTTACTCATTTGTCTCAGGCTCCCATCAATTACACTGGCATTTTGGCAGATGGCATCACCTCTATGTTCTATTTTCTATATTTTATGCTCATAGAACTACCGGTAATCTATGTTTTAAGTCCTTGGTCCAAAAAATACCCTCCATAAGTTAAATGCTTGTCCCCAGACACCACATATACACATTATGTCAGTATCTGGGGTGGGTGAGGGGCAGTTGCCTACAATAGGATTATTAATATCCATGGCAGGCTGTAACATTTAAAATCTCTATGAGAAGCAATATAACCAAACAGTGGAGTTGGGGGAAGAAGGACAATAATAAATGAATGTAGTATAAATCTATATTCTCTATTTAAAAAGCATGTGATAAAATGTGAGGTGTTTTTTTGTTGTTGTTATATCAAAATTGGCTAAAGCTTTGTAGATCCAGCTAGAATGTTTAGAGAGTTCTGAAGTAAAAACTATTAAAACTATCTCACCTGATTTTCATTTTCTGACAGGTACGTTTCTAAGAAGGAAAATTCTCCATTTTACAGGAGACTGGTTCAACCCGCTTTTGGTGTTACCTGTGATAAAACAGCCGGCTGTGATGAAAAGAGGACTGTATTTTCTACAAACAGGATTACTTGCCAAAAATGCAGAACAATGACCTACACTGAAATAACCTGCTACCATAAATAAAAAGGAACAAACAGCAATGGAAAATCAGCAAGGTCATGATTTCTAAGAAATAATGATGCAGAGTTGTAGGAGTAATGTAATTGTTATCAT